TGCCCGATGCCGAATCAGTCATGCTGGTCATTACCCGTCTGCCGCCAACGGGTAGACTGCGGGGAACCATCCTCACCTCCAGATCGGCAAACATAGGCGGGATGGACCCTGAGGCGCTTCACCCCCGCTACTGCCGACGCCATGACTTATCGCAGTATAGTATCCTTCAACAAAATTGCCACATTCAGATATGATCCGTACTACATCGACTGCGTGTACCTACCAAACTTTCCACAGTCGCCGCCGACACAACTCAACTTCCAACACACCAACGCACTAAACCTCAACACCACATCCCAAAATGCGAGCACCATACATCCTGATAACAGGCGCATCCTCCGGCCTCGGGCTCGCATTCATCGATCACTACATGCAGAAGTCGACCGAATGGGGACACTTCGTCATAGCTATAGACAACAAACCATTCCCAGTGGCACCTCAGGATTACCCTCGCGAATGTGGAAACCTCATCGTCTTCCACCAAGCCGACATAACCTCTCTTGAGGAAATTCAAGCATGGGTTCAAAAGCATTACAGCACCCCCATTGAACTCATCATCCACTGCGCCGGCGTCAGAGGTCTCGTTCCTGCGGTCGTCGCACGAGAAAAACAGAGTAGTAAAGTCGTCGCCGAAGCAGAGACACTGGAAAATATGGACCATACGACTATGATGCGGACGTTTGAAATAAATACCTGTGGCACGCTCAACGTTGTTAAAGCGTTCTTGCCACTCCTTCGATGCTTCGCCGCTGGAGTCTATGAAGACGCTAAAGTCACAAGGAAACCTAAAGTCCTCATCCTATCTTCCCGTATGGGTTCCATATCTGCCAACACAGCAGGTGGCGGGTACGCGTACCGCGCTAGTAAGGCGGCGTTGAACGCGGTAGTGAAGAGTCTCGCTATTGATATACCCGACGTGCAATTTTTGATGTTGCACCCGGGACGAGTGGAGACGGGGTTGGTGGAGTGGAAGGAGGAAGGGGCGATTTCGGTGCAGGAGAGTGTGAGGAACTGTATGAGGGTTTTGGACAAGACGGATAAGGAAGGGTGGGAGAGTGGGAGATTGGTTGATCGGTTTGGGGAGGTGATTCCTTGGTAAGAGGGCCGTGGAATGAGGCAAGGGAGGTGGAGGGGGGTGGAGGGGAATGCGAGAGAAGAGGTGAGGAAAGATGATATATTTTCGCACGTATATATCCGCGCCTATCTGGCATTGTATCTTGAAATGGAATCGCTGAACCTCTGATCTCCCGCCTTTGCTTATCTATCCGTACATTTTCTCCCGCCTCAGATATTCTTCTATAACGCCATAATATGCATGATTGAGATCGAACCACTCTTGTTCAACCAACGAGCTAAGAGATCAGCCGCGTGCTCGATTTGTGCTGATGGACACAACTCAAGACACAGCCGAAGCAGTGACGGTGGTGTAGTTAGTAACACCATCCATCGTTGTGCCTATAGGCTTCGTAGATGACGCCCGAGGAGTCTGTACGGTGGTGTAGTTGGTAATGCCTCCGATCCTTGTACCTGTAGGCTTGGCAGATGTAGATGTCGCTGACGGATCATAACCAATGTAGTTGTTGCCGCCAGTCCTTGTGCCCACGGGCTTGGTAGATGTCGCCGATGATGCTTCCAATGCTGGAGCCGCCTCGAAAGCCGTCAACAAGAGACGTTTGTTGTGGAAGGTGATGAGAGTCGTGGAGGATGCTGAAGGGTCATAGGGAGTCATGTTATTACCGCCAGTCAAAGTGGCAGGCAGTGTCATAACCTTCGTTGACGTAATGACCGTTGTTACGGTAACTACCGTGGGCGCTGCGCCGTAGAGAACCTCGAAAGTTGTTAGAGCTGTGGCGGATACCGAAGAACTGTACGGGACGTAGCCAGATCCGTGAGTCAACGTCGCTGGCAAAGTTATGATCTTCGTAGTGGTGATGATGGTAGTCGTGACAGCTGGAAGGGGAGATTGCTCTGCAGTCATCGCTGAGAGGCGCTCATCTTTGGATGAAGTCATGGACGTTCGGGGCAGAGAAGGTACGACGCTGTTGTCCTGGTAGCCAGCACCAGCGCCAGTTTGATAAACCCTCACCGAGTTGATGAGATAGTACACTTCGTTGAACTTGTCGGGGTTGGTCGCAACGAAGTGATTGCAAGATTCGTCGTGAGTCTCCGCTGCGCAGTGTGTGTAGCCAGACCAGGCATTGCCTCCAGCCATGGAGCCGCAAAAGGTAATGTTGACGATCTGTCCTATGTCAGTAGGCACTCCCATCCACGAGATTGAGTGCACTTACAATCTTCATCTTCTTGAACGTATTGCGAATATCGCAGCCATCCCCAACGAAGTTCATCACAGGCGTGCCCCATGTGTTGGGGTCAGGATTGGCGCTATCCCAACCCGATGGCTCGTGACCCCGAGGAAAGAACCATGCCTTGATGCCATCGTCCTCGACTTGGGCTGCCCAGACACCGCCTCGGTTATCGTTGAAGGCTTGGCCGAAGGAGCCCTCGGGACCATTGACGCCGCAGTCGCGATGTTCCATGCATTCGAGGTCTGGACGCGTCTCGCCTGATCCGCCATTGTCTCGCATCTTGCATGGCGTGTGACCGGTATGGAGGCTGAGCGAGTTCCGCGAATTCATGGAGATACCCTCGATGATGTCGAACTCGGAGTACCATTCCTCTTGATGACCTGTGTCGTGGAGAAGCCAGCTGCAAATGGTTAGCAGGTGTACATGTCTGATACGCCGCACAAACGATGATGAGCACAAGAGAGAGTGCTGGAGTAGGTACTGACTCGAAAGTCCGAGAAGATGAGGGGTAAGTAGGAAGTGAGACTCACAAAGCAGGCCACATGCCACATCCACTAGGTAGGTGCTCAAAGTCCGCAATGAAGAGTCCGTTGTCGAACGTCTGCACTCCTTCTAGTCGGACGCTCTTGCGGCCATAGCCTTCACCGGGCTCTTGCGGAGGGAGTACTTGAGTTGTATCGACTCCGAGATGAACCTTGCCGTCGTCGATGCGTGCAAGTCCAAGTGAAGTTGCTTCTTCCTTGGAGACGTAGAGAGCCATGCCTTGGGTGAACTGGTCCCAGCCGTTATAGAAACGGAAGGAGCCATCGTCGAAAAAGTTGCTCGCGTTGTATTCCGCCTTGAGCTCGTAGCCTGTGGTGAGGCAGAGCACTGAGGCAGCGACGAGGAGGGTGCGTAAGATAGCCATGATTGATACTTGACTGTAAAGCTAGGGAAATGATAAAAAGTGGAGGTAGGGAGTGATGAGGAAGCTTGACGCGGAGAGGTTTGAATCATATAGTGGGTGCCCGTGCCCATGCCGTCTCGCTTGTAGTGAGAGAAGGAGGTGGGAAGGAGCGACCGGCAACAACAGAGCGGTGAGCCAAGTGAGAGAAACCGTGCTGAAGCAGATAGCCTGTGTCTATTACATTGCAGCATGAAGCAGAAATAATACATGGTGCTTGAATGCTAAAGTAGCTCGCACTATGCAGCTCGCAGTCTGTGATGGGTATAAGTATACAGTAGGTGAGGAAAGACGGCATCGCGCCGTGGAGTCAAAGCCAGCATGTGGATGTCGCTCCTGAAATGACTGACTGGCTTCTACAGAGGCGTGTATGACTGTTAGATGTTACGGCATGGATGCTCGAGCTGAACAGCCAAGCACGCCACCAACTATAAGCCGTCTCTGAGTCAACACAGTGGTAGTAGCAAAGAAGCGCGCGCTCCATACAGATGCGCACTGAACGAAAAGTGTGACCCGAAGCCACTTGCGAAACGGCAGATCACACCAGCATCATGCTTCATCACCCACCGTCTTCTCTACGTCGCCCTCGCGAACATCAGTCAACGTGCCCTGGTCTTCCTCTCTTGACCGCGCGCCTGAGATCTTGCTAGCAGTCTCCAGTCCTCTTTCAACATCCTGCACTAGCCCATCCAACGCGTCGAAGATGTCGCCTTGCTGTTCCCTCGCCTCAGTCAGCCTGTCCTGACCAACTTCACCCTTGCCTTTGCCCTTGCTCTTCCTCGGTATGTCGATGCCTTGTATGCGCAGCATGTATCCTTGATCTGGTGAGTCCTCATCGAACGAGGGAGCTATCCGTACATCCGTATCGGTGATTTGCCACTCTGACGAGAGCGACTGCGCTTCTACGACTGTGCGCCCGTCTGTGCCGACATCGATTATGAGGTAATGCTCCTTGACACCCGGTATGGGCGGGGGCAGCGGTGACTCGACTGGTGAGTCTTGCTCGTCTCCTTCTTCGCTTCCTTGATTGCGTCGTCTCTCCCCTCCACCCGGCGCATCATGCGGGAGGTACTTTGTATCATCCAGCCCCAGGCCTCGCATCGATGCAGCAGTTATGATGGTCGGGTCGTCGTCGGCAAAGACATAGTGTGTATACGGGTGGTAGTGCTCACCCGACGTCGTGTCTTCGATCAGGGTGAAGAAGGGTCGAAAATTCGGCGGTGGTAGCAGCGGTTGCTCGTCACTAGGCTCGGGGTAGGGTATGTCGTCCTCATCCTCGTCTTCTGGCGCATCGCCAGGCTGATGTTGCTCGAGGAGCTCGTCGTCGGGAGGGTCTTCGGCACGCTCTATTGACTTTGATCGTGGAGAAATCGATGCGCGGCGATCTGAACGGTACTCTGTAGTGTTAGGGTTGCTAGACATGTTGTGGGAGTTGATGGAAGACTGGAGTTAACGGAGTTCGGGAGCTCTAGTAAGGTGCATGATCGATAAGGGACGTGGTCCATGCACACTACCTCATCAACCCCAAGGCAGCAAGTCAGGTACGGAATGCGGTGAAAGGCCCCTAGCTCAGAGGCTAAAGTATGTAATGCAGTCCTTAGGGTATCATCCAAATCCAAACGCCGATAGTAACATCTGTGTGCAAGCCAAGGTATTGAAGCGCCGCTTTCCCAGCATCCATCATATGCCTGCAGATCGAGGTGACGACAAGCTTCTCAACGAGTTCCGTATTCGATCGCGTGATCCGAAAGCTACAGCGGGCTTGTATCGGGTTCTTGGGTCGGTGCCGGGGTTTCGGTGGCTGTCGGCGCGTCTTGACTCTTCGACTTGAAAGCTGAATATACAAGTTAGCTGAAGATCTGGTAGGTCGCTTGCGTACATACGTTGTCGGCACATAGGACACTTCTCTAGAGAGCTCTCTTGCTTCAACCAGGAGAAGATGCAGTGCTGAGACGTGTTAGTCTTTGTCGCCCAGGGTGACTTCATGGGTATGGAGGCGTACCATGTGAAACGAGTGGTTGCACTCTCCCAGTACTATCTCACGTTAGTCTAGACCCAGCATCGTCATGGTCAGACATACATAGCGGACACTCATCGCCAGGAAACTTGCACTTGGAGCAAGTGCTATCGTAAGGGTTACGACAGATACCACAGACATCGTCGTCTGGCATATCCCAGCGCCAGGCAGCGACGGCGTTCCACTCGCGTATAGTGACTTTCATCGTGTCTTTCGTCGCTTGGAAGGTAGAATTCGAGGTTGGCGCGTAGATTGGATGGACAACAAGATCAACAGCACCAAAACATGCCGAGGCGGCAGTTTATCGGCGGTGAGGGGCGGCGATTGCGCGTTAATTCCGCAGGGGTCTGAGCTCAAGCTGGAGCTCCACGCTGCAGAGCGACTATCACGCATCACAAACACACAATCACGCAATTTCTGTTCTACAGACACGCCGTGCTATGGTGCATCTATCATGGCCGTCTGATAGAGGCTACGCCACCGATTGCTGTCATCAGTCAATACAGGGGGCAAGGAGATCAGACCCTCTTCAGGTTTGTTGCAGTTCCCCGCACTAACGCTGAAGCTCGATGCGGACCCTCTACGCTGCACGAGGATTGTAGATTAGGGAAGCTTCACCTCGCCGTCTAGCTCCACAAATCTCATTTCCTTCTTCCCTTCCTCGCCGACCAGAGACACTTTCTCCATTCACTGTAGCTATCATCAAATTCCAACATGTTCGTCTTACGCTTCCGCTGCTCTTTACGTCCGCTCTCTTCTATCCCCTCCATCCGCTTCCCCATAGCTGTAAGCAGCAGAAGGACAATGTCTTCTCAACCCGCTTTCTCCTCTTATCTCGTCACGCCATCTGAGCTCAACTCGGCATTGAAGCACAATGCCAGCAAACTTTCTACGGAACCCCGCATTGTCCCACTTTGCGCTTCTTGGTTCTTGCCCAACGACGGTCGCAATGGCTACGACACCTTTCTTGCACAGCGCATCCCGCGCGCACGCTTCTTCGATCTCGATGCTGTCAAAGACATCCATTCGCCGTACCCGCACATGTTACCCACTCCCGAAGACTTCGCAATCGCAATGAGACATCTTGGTATACGACGGGAAGATAGCGTCGTGGTCTACGATACAAAGGAATTGGGCATCTTTTCTGCGCCGAGAGTGGGCTGGACGTTGCAGGTCTTTGGTCATCCGAAGGTGCATGTGCTAAACAACTTCCGCAAGTGGGTTGAGGAGGGCTTTCCAACGGAGAGTGGAGAGCCAAAGGACGTTGAACCGACCGAATATCCGGTGCCGAAGTTAGAGGAGGAGAGAGTTGTCGCTTTCGAAGAGGTGAAGGATATCGCGAAAGAATTGGGCAAGGAAGGTGCAGACGAAGTGCAGATTCTGGATGCTCGTAGTCTTGGAAGATGGAAGGGCGTTGATCCAGAGCCCAGAGAAGGTATATTCGTCATTGCATGCGATCCATTACAGCCTGGCTAATCCAACCTATTAGGCCTCTCATCCGGACACATTCCCTACTCCACCTCCGTCCCCATCACGGACCTCCTCAACCCCGAAGACAAGACCCTTTTACCTGCCTCCGAACTCCAGGCCATCTTCAAGTCGAAGGGCGTCGATCCATCCAAGCCAATCATAAACAGCTGTGGTACTGGTGTTACGGCAGCGATCATTGACGCGGCATTGTCGGAAGCTGGTTTCCCCACGCAACAGAGACGGTTGTACGACGGCAGCTGGACAGAGTGGGCACAGCGCGTAAAGCCTGGCGAGGGTCTCATCCGGAAGACCGAGTAGACCGGTGCCTGGCAGGTGGTATTGTGGGTTTCCTTCCAAAGTTGATACCCCTTTTATGTTCGTGTTTGTAGTTTCTGTATTCGAATGTATGATGCATTTATTTCGTAGTGACCGCAAGGACCATGTCAGAAGTAAATGGTGTCGATTCATTAAGGGCTCTTTACTATACACGAGACGCAGTCTTTGTGAACGTATAAGATGCTATTTGCCTTTAGTACAGAGATGTCATCTGGACACCAGGAACAAACGAGGTATCTAGGAATACCTACATTCTTCCACCAAGATGCCACCCTATCCGCGTGGACAGTGCGGAAGGTAGCGAAAACTCGTGCCAAAGGAAATACATAAATGATAGTAATAATACAACAAAGAAAAGTCTGTTTGATTAGGACTGCCACCTTATACAAGGCGGAAACCGAACCCCCTAGAGCCTACGTCGAGATACAAACATGAAAAGTAGGGGCCCTAACGTCAACGTAGGCTCTAGGGTATTCAGCTTTTCCCTTGTATAAGGTGCTGCAACAACAGAGAAGCTTGTGAGCTCTGAAATGTCGAGTGCGGCGACTTCGGGTCGAGATACGTGTTCAAGAAGAAGCTGACCTGTGGCCTAGCACCCCTCAGCGCCACGACTTCCAGACTCTCGGTAACAAACAACGATGACGTATAGATGGTCACACCAGTACCGATATCTCCGATACCTAAGCAGGCCGGAAGCTCCGATAGAACCGCTGAACCTCCGGATTCGGCCCATCCTGCTCGTCCTCTGGAAGTGCGGTGACGGCGAGACGCTCGAGCGATCTCGCTCTGCTAACTATTTGTAACTATCAGCAACATTCTCCCGGATCTGAGCGGGTTGTAAGGAGTGACCTACGAGCGACATATACCTGTTCCTCTTCAAATGCCCTTGCCAAATTCACTTTGACACGATCAAGCGACATGCCCTATTAGACGTGTCAGAATGCACGCGCAAGTTTACAAACTGTTAGTAACATACCTGAGATTTGTGAATAGTCATAGCATAGCCGGCCATCAACGGGACCTGTGTGCGCGAGATGCGACTAGGTGGTTTGCCGACGCCATGTTCCGAGACCAGACAATCGGGGTATATGGTTCTGGTTTTGCCATTGTCGAACCTTACGATGGGCCATTCTGGATTACCATTTTCCTCGCAGAATCGTTCGATTTCGTCCTGAGCGTACCGCGCATGGGGACCGCTCAAGTCGACGTTCTTCTTGGGTAGCTTGTCGAAAGCGAACGGCTCGAAGCCAATTAGTTGGCCTTGTGATCCGTTGACGAGACCTTCCTCTGGGGAAATATTCTTGGTCAGTACGACGCGCATGTTTCTCTTGAGTGTCAGGGTTATCTCATAGCGATGAGATTCTTCGCCCTGTATAGACGTTAGCGTGTATCGGTCGGTAAGTTGATCCCACGTACAATAGGGCCTTGAGGCCGTCGCTTGAGATGGAGCAAGTATTTGTTGTTTCTATCGGCGTCTTTGAGAGACAGAAAATCTTTGCTTTCGTACACTCTGGGCCTACCCGGTAGCCTCGCAACCTCTCTTTCATTGACCTCCCTAACATGGTCGTTGTGGGTGGATAACTCCATAGCACCCTCCATTCCTGAACGGGCCACAAGTAAACGATTCTTGATCTCGCGTGGGGTCTCATCAATTCCGACTTCGTACTGTTAGTAATATTTCCAATACTTAAACAACATCCGTCGAGATGTCAGACTGATTTGGCAGGGACTTACGCTGTCGAATGGCTTGTAGAATTGACTGAAATTCTTCATCGCCTTGTCGATAGATTTTCGTCAGATGAAAGCATTCGAAATTACATTCCTGATCACGTAAGCGTCGTTTTCAAACTAACAGAACCGGAGATTGCTTACCCTCCATGCGTTGCTGAGGAAAGCCCACTTGTTGCGGTCGTAGAACATCGTTTCCTCGCAGTTGTTGTTTTTACACTCGTATGTGCTAGGCTTATAATTTCTGTCGGGGGTGAGCTGCTTTCCGCACCGGAAACAATTTTTGAAGGGTTTCACGGGTGGTAGTTGACAGAACTACGATGGTTAGGATGTGAGGTTGCTGAGTTTGGCGTGTCAACTTACATCTCCTGTGACGACCATCTGCACTCCACCGAAAGGTTTGTCATTCCCTCTAGCAACCTTCATCAAGTGATTGAGGCGCTCGAGGAAATTGCTCTCCGACATACTGATTTCATCGATGACGAGAACGTCAGTCTCTTGTATGTTGGCGATATCGGTCTGAAATTTATTGCTCCTGAGACCTATCCTGTTGGTGTTCACATGCCAGTTGGCGTAACTGTATGTCGTGATGCCTCCTACGTTGAGCGCAGCAAGGTTTGTGGGCGCAGTCACAAACACTCGCTTGCCCATCTTTTCCAGTCTCTTCTTAAAGGCTCGGAGTACGACGGACTTTCCACAGCCAGCAGAGCCCGTGTAAAAAACGTTGCGTCCTCGCATGATGCGTTGTACCACCCGTTCCTGCTCAAGACTCAACTCAACCTCAGGTTCAGCGATGTCTGTTTCTGACACGATATGCTCCTCATCAGAAGCGGGCTCTTCCGAAGCATCTTGAGAAACTCGTGAGCTTGAGCCTGAAGAAGATGCATGCTGATGCGGCAGTCCGTGAAGTCCAAGTGCTTGTTCGCGTTCTAGCAACCCTTGCATTAGTGCTTGTTGTTGCTGAGGGTTTAGTCCTCCTTGTGGTACTAGTACCATCATCTGTTGTATTAGTCTCAATCGGTGTTCTCGTGGTAGTTGCTGGAGCGAAAGCTGCTGCTGAGGAGCTTGCTGCTGCACATGAGGGATGTGCTGTTGTGGCGGATGAGCAACTTGTTGCTGCTGGTGAGCAATTAGTTGCTGCTGTTGAGGAATTGGTTGCTGCTGCTGAGGAACTTGTTGTTGCGGCTGAGACAGTGCAGGCTGCAGAGCCAACCAGGCGCGACCTTTTTCACGCTTGAGCGCATCGTCGACCTGAGTGCGCCTCGCGTGTAGCCATTGCCATGCTTGGGCAACAGAATTGACTTTCAGTTTGCCGTTGCCGCTGAAACCTTTGAGCACGTTCTTTTCGACATAGTTCCAATCAGTGTATATGCCGGGGACGTGACCCAGAATTGCGTACATCTTGGTGGTGCCGAGTACATCTTTGTCGACAAAGAGCCCCCATGCTTGGATTGGGCGACTCAGCCGAGGTCTCACCGCTTCTCGCTGCTCTAGTGCCGGATCGAGTCTCACATGGCGTCCACGCAGATAGGATAGAAGCTCGTTCGTTGGTATTCCCGTGTCTGTTCTCTGTTGGTTGTATCCGTTGTTTCGATATCCTCCCCCATGGTTTCCATGCCCTCCTTGATGTCCTCTATTTCTTCTGGCCATTGTCGCGGGTTCGAGGTTATG